CTGACCTTGACAAGCACGTCGCGCACCTCTTCCATGGTGAAGTATGCGTTCGGCAGGTCGATCTCCTGGCCGCCGAACCTGTCGGGGTCCTGCAGTGCCGCCGCGGCGTACCTCCCGACGTCGTTCGTGTCCGTGTAAGGCACCCGGACGCCGTCGTTGCAGGCGTGGCCCAGCTCTCCGCTCGGGAGGCCGGGGAAGTTGCCGAAGACCATGGGCAGAAAGAAGTCGGTTTGGAGGATCGCCGGCCGGAGGATGGTGTAGGCCTTGAACTTGCCGCCGCGGATGACCTCCTCGACCTCGGCCTTGGACAGGAAGTACGGGCGCAAGCCGACCTCCGCGGTCGCGGCGTTATCCCACAGGGCTCTGTCGCCCACGGCGACGACGGTGCTGCCGACGATGCTCTCGACGCCCGCTTTCTCGCAGGCTTCGACGATTGTCTTGGCCTGCTGGGTTTCGAGCCCTCCCCAGGGGAACGTGTTGAGGTAGGCGGCTTTGCAGCCTTGCGCCGCCTGGTAGATCTCGTCGAGGTTTGTGCTTTCGCCTTTGAAGATGGTGATGCCCTCTTTCTTCAGGGCCGGAGGGGCTTTCGCGGGGTCGCGCACCACTGCATGGACTTTGGCTCCGGCTGCGAGTAGATGCGCGATGGCCGCCAGGCCTTGTTGGCCGGTTGCCTGGGTGACTAGGTAGGTAGCCATGTCGGAGTACCTTGGGAGCCTTTGTGTAAGAAGAACAAAAGTGTTTATAGTGTTTTACCAAGAGGAGGAGTAGGAGGAGTACAGAGATGCTGCTGAGATGGGAGCTGTGTCGTGAATTTCAGTCCCATACATTCGAATGCCGAGCCGCTCCTTTATATAGACGGACAAGTGACAGAGACTGATTCCTGCCACCATTCAAGAACATAATAGACCTCCTGTTACCTGATTTCCAACCCATTACGAGTCCACTACTCAATCCGTGCTAGTCAGAGGTGCGGTAACCGGCCAAAAGGTTCCTGCGGTAATACTGCCTGTTTCGAGCCGCATCATGGAATAGATGCATTTGAAAGGAGAAAACGGGCGCCAGAGCTCGATAAAAGTTGCTTCAGGTGGGTCTGATCAGAAACGGGCGGTGGACGAGTTGAACTATTTCCAAATAGGGACTAGCATCCGACGGGATGTGGTATATCATATGCACAACGGCTCCTACGACGCCTCGTAGAAAGTTGCCCATGGTGGGGCCGATGGAAGACGGGTAGGGCGGGTTGTTGGCGGGCTGACTGATGGGGATTCCGCCGGCCACATGTCCGGGTCGGAGTTAGGACTGACGAGGCCCGGCGCTACACCTATTCTGTAGATCATGTATATCCGTATATGTAAGCGACCTGGATCCTTCGCGGGGCTTGATAACGCCGGAGGGTCCGCCAGCGTTCGGCGTCTCATGCCCGCCAAACCCCCACTACGTCCATTGTCGCCCGATGCCACCCAGGAGCACGATGAGCCCGCGAAAGGCCTGCTGGACGTGTACAGGTCAGTGAACACTTTGGCTGCTGGCATGAGCAAGGACGGACTTTGCCTGACCGCGCGTTTTCTCCAGCCCGAAGGGTTCGGTGTGACGGGGGCTTCCCCAGCTGCCAAAAGTGCGCTCGAGCTGAGCGGGTTTGCCAAGGGTACGAAGTTCGACTGTCGTGGCCCAAAGACAATGACAGGAAACGTGCGATCACCGGGATATCTCCACCGGCGGTCGAGGACCCCAGCCGCGGATTCGACCTCTTCGTCAACACAACTTCGCAGGATGTAGAGCTATACCGCAATGCCCCGTTGTCGGCAAAGCCTCTTCACCCGGTCCAATCCGGTCCAAGTTTGTCGATGCAGGCTCCGTCAGACAGAAGCCATGCAGACCTGATCCAGCACTGTAAGTCTGCAACAGGGTTGCCGCATGATCCGCAGTGAGACGAGGCTCATGGTAGACACCTGCACTTAGTCCAAAGCACCGCTTACCTCTCGTTGGCCACATTCACTACTACGAATTCTCAGATGCGAGAGACACTCATGCGCATGGCCCGGGCCCGTGATACCGCCGCGGGCCTCGCGCTTCACTCCGCGATGCTCGCCTTCTCCTCGTTGCACCGTGACGGGCTCCACCAGCAGACGGCGCAGCTCAAAATATCAGCACTTCAGTTCCTGTCGGCTTCTGCGAGAGGAGGGACGTTAAGCTCGGCAGAGGCTGCTCGGCACGCAGCAGCATTGATGCTTCTTGGTGCTTTCGAGGTGGGTTTCCGGTCAATACCGTGTATCAACCACAAAAAGTGGCCATTCGTACTTACAAAAAAAAAACACCTCCTCCGACATAGATCTTCCTGCCTTCAGAAAACTCGGGCGAGTGGCTTTGGTACGTCTGGGGGGCCATGAAAATCACCCAGGCGGCCAGGCTCAAAGACTACTCCGACCAACGCGATGTACACCACCTTCTCGACTGGGTCCACTTTCACAACACGCTCTCCCATTTCCCCATACGTCACTGGCGTCACAGGCCATTATCTACTGGGGCGGCAACCGCGCAGCCTTGCAGCCCCGGGGAAGAGTTTCGGCCTCCGTCCTTGGAGACGTACAGAATAGTAAAGCTCGCTGGCAACCCGTCGCAGGCGGTCTCGCCATGTCTACTGACGTCGTCTCGCAGGAAATGCCGGCCCTGAATGTCACGCACGCAGTCTTGAACCTGCTATCTGACGTCTGCGAAAGGCTGCTCGACCCGTGGGACCCGAGGAGCCGCGAGGCGGACTACCACGCCAACCTCAGAGCGCTCGAGAGGAGAGCCGAGAGCCTCTCCCTGTACTACGGGGCCGAGGAGGACGCCGACATCGTATACGGCGCAGAAATATGGCGGATCGCCACGCGCATCTACCTCGCCCGGGCTTCGCAGAACCGATGGGAACCGTCTGCTGACCTAGACTCCGTGATCGACGCGCAGTTCGTCCGGATCACCACATTTTATTCCTGCAGGCACTTCTTTCCCATGTTCATTCTCTCCTGCGAGGCTCGCACGGACGAGCGACGCGCGGCCATCATCGGTCTGATTGACAGGACGGAGAGAAGTGCACGCACGAGAAGCCTGAAAGGTCTGAGGGACCTGATACAGTCTATCTGGGTGCAGCAGGATCTCCACGCAGACAGCGATCTGCTGGTGAACTACCATGGCATCATCAGCACTGTAGTCAGCTCCGGCACTACACCTTTGTCCTTTGTGTAGAGTCTCTTGGTAAGGTGCGAGGAAGAGAAGATGGGGGCGGTTACAAGTCCATCATTGAGATCCACGCCCTCCTTACCGCAGGCCCCGCGTGGAACTTTGCCAACTTCACTCGCACGAAGTTTTCTAACGAATCTTTGGTATCGGTCAGCGGAAAGAAACTGACACCGCTCGAGCCAAGACCAATACTAAGGTATCGCTTGGAAACCTAGTATATGAGTAAAGATGGATGCAGTGAGCTTCGTCCCCCGTTGTCAGGTAGCAGCACAAATGTCGCTGACTGGGGTACCAGGGGTATTGGAAATGAACATTACCACGTATGTATGTATATATTACAGTATACACACGTCATCTAGAATAACTTGATACGGCCCGTACACATCTCGTCACTTGGCTAAGCGGAAGTCGAAGAACGTGTTTGATGAAATCGTTAGTAGGAGAATATTGGCCAATGTGAAAAGTCAAAGCTCCAAGCTGGTTGGTATTTGACATGATGTCCTGGACTCATTCATGTCTCGCCCTCAAAAGGCGGCCTGATACACACCGGACCACACGCAGGTAACCAACACACCGGAGCAAACCGTCCTGGTAGAAACGCTCCGGAAACCAGGTACCTAGCCATTGACTCACACTCCTTCCAGCTCTTCCTCAAAAAGAACCCCCCCCCCCCTTGAAAAAAAAGTACCGTTCCGATTCGCCGTATGACAGCCTGAGGAGGAGGAGAGCGCATCTTGTTGGCCGGCCGTACGAGATCGGAGTCGTAAACCAAAGCTCTTGTATGATATACCGCACGCCTCCTCCGTTCTCCCTATCATCGTGACCCAGCCCACAGGGTTACACGATTAGGCTACCGGGAGGGGTGAGATTGCCAAGGGCTTAGATAGCCTCATGTTCTAGAAGATGGTCTGTGAAGGGAGGGGTAATTACATACCGAATGCAAAACGTATTGACGGCAAAGGATTCGATGCCGACAGGTCCGACATCCTTCCCCCTAACACCGCAGAACCCGTGAGGCGTTTTCGAGGCGCCGCCCCGTCCAGCCACTGAATCGGTAGAAGAGGGGGGAAAAAGTCAAAGATAAGAGCACGCCACGCCATGGCTTTCTTCCTGGGCGAGTAAACGGCGGCTGCCCCCTATCGTCAAGCTTTCACGAAGCCGCCCGGAGCGTCTAGGATGGGGTCCCATGCAGGCGTCCAAGCAGCGCAGCTGACATGCGACAAGTGAGCTGCGGTTGATCTGATTATTGCGGGAGCGAACATGGCCTGCCCCTCTCGCCGATGGGACATGGGTGAAGGGGGTAGTGGTGTCATCAGATAGGTACGACGAAAAAAAAAAAAAAAAACCGAAAAAACCAAGACATGACAACTGGATGGAAGGGGGAGTCAAGGATGCAACGAGATGCGGCAGCGAGCCTGGCCTGCGATGGACCGTTACACGACATGTCTGCCCGAGCGATTACAGATTCACATTGAGCTCTAGCGCCTCCCCCGTCGAGGAGCACAGCGCCTAGCTCTCGGTGACATGTCGCATCACTCTCACTTCACACTAACACCACCCATGTCTCGTCTCAGAGCCTGTCACCAACACCGATGCGCGACATGCCACCCGAACCACGCCAGCGTCGAATTCGGCCCGGACCCCTACGGCCCTACGAGACGAGATGAACCGGGCAAGATCACATCACCGGGCGGGCTCGTCTGCTGAGCCTACCCAGGCACGCGGGTTGCAAAATAGCACCGCCGGCCAACACTGCAAAACTTGGGTAAGGCGCCTCTGACAAGCCGGCGGTGTTTCTTGGAACCCGCGTGCCATTGTCGGCAATCCGAAGACATTCAGATGCTGTTCCCTGTTGCTAGTCTGCGTCTTTCGCCCCGTCCCAACCGCACCGTTCACGCTCCGAGTTTTTCGAACCCTCGTCGACACATGGCGTGCGAAAGGACAGTTTGGGAGAGGCTAAAACGTGGCAGAAAAGAAATATAAGAAGCGCCTCTGTGAGGTACCGGTATGTTTTGCGGCCATGGCGGCCAAGGCGCAGCAATGTCACCAATCCCATGGTCCCGTCCCTCGTGTCCAGGTGGTTGGGTAACAAAGCGCCACATAGGTGGGAGGCAATAAGACCCAGGGGAACGGCGACAAGCGCTTTGGAAACAAGGGAATGCAAGCCGCAGGTAAACCGAAAAAGAAGAAGGGAAAAAAAAAACATGTAGTTCCCCTGCCGAACCTACCTATCCAGGCAGCCACGGACGTCGAGACACTTCACTGATCGCCGATCCCCCATCCCAGAGACGTCGGGCACGGCGAGAGCTGGTATTCCGGGTGATGCAGCGGCTGAGGCGCTGGAACTTTCCTCTTTCAGGTCGGCGCAGTTGCGAGATGAGGGAGAGAAAGAGATGGAGGAAGATGGAGGAAGAGAGGGAAGGAAGGAAATGAAGAGGGAGCGGCGACTTTGGCACCCCGCCCCTGCCATATGATAATGACCATGACCAAGACCATGACCGTAGGACCATATAACCACCGGCGCCTTCTCTCTCTGCCAACGGTTCCTGACATGCCTGCACCATTGCTACCTGCCTACCTAGGTAGGTGGCAATCATCGTCAGTCGTTCGTTCAGCCACCCGAGTTTCATATACTGAACTCCTTCCTTCTGCCGGTAGCACTTACTTGTTTGCTGCACGCCATAGAGACCCGTGTACAACCAACCGTCCGTCTCCCAAGATCTGGACCGGTCCATTGTGCTTTCTTTCTCTGCCTCTTTACCTCTCTTTATATCTCCAGGTATCCCTGCCACGCAGCCAAGCTTGCCGTGACAGGGCGGGCAAGCAGAACAAAAACCGAAACCGACTCGCTCGCTCCAGTTGGTCCGGGTCGCATCCCGTGTCTTTCCCGCCCGTCTGTCCCCTCCCCCACCCCCACCCAAAAATAAAACAAAAATAAAAATAAAATGGACCGTTTTCTCGGCCTGCCCACACTTAGCCGCATCTCGCATAAACCTACAGCACATATCAACCCATCCCGCCATGCAGCCCTTGCAAGTTCCCCCTCTGCTTCTCTTTTGCACAGGACGATCTGCTGCAGAGTCGTCGGGTTTGCTTCCCGTGAACCCACCTACCTCTTTACCACTTTTCCCTCTACAGCTCCTCCATATGCCGTATCCCGCCCCTGGACCCTTCCATGTGCAACGTGTGCGCCAACACGGGGACGATAAGCAGCTCTCCCCCGTCCTGTTACCCAAACTCAGAGTACATACATAGTAAGGAAAGGAACCCTCCATGTCGCTTGCTGAGGGGGGGGGGATTAACTTTTGACTAACTAGGTCAGTTGCCTCGTTCGGCGGGCCTGGTTCGGTCCATCCCGTTGCATTGACGTCGTCTCGCCTGACCGCCGTGGGCCAGACCCGGTCCACGGGTGACGGCAGCAGCGGCTAAAAGCATTGGCAACAACGGTCTGGTCCCTCCATCGTGATCCCGTCACGGTCTAGCTGGCAAGCAAGCAAGCCGGCCAGCTTGTCTGCGTGTTTGTTTCCGCCGCTCGAAGCTACCAAGAAACCCACTACATGCATGCTTCCTTCCCTCCCTCACTTCTCCCCTCCAGCACTCCTACGCTCCGCTCTCACTTGCACCATAAACTCTCTCAGCTCCCCCCGTCGGACCGTGTCCGTTCTCCGTTACGCTATCTCTTTTTCTCTCTTTCTCTTCGTTCTTCTCTTTCTCCTCCTCCTCCTCCGCCAACTTGCTCTTTCGGCCATGCACACGATCCGTCTTGTTCCTCTGAAGGCTTCTACCTGCATCACTCTCTTCCTCCCTCCCCCAGGCCGTCGACCCCCCGCGCGTCCTCACGTCCGCCCTCCTTCCCGGTCCGTCGGCGTCCGTCCCCGTCATCGTTACAGTGCCAATGGGCTCCACAGTCACGCCCGTGACGGAGCATAGTTGCATCCCCCGTTACTCGTCGGAGTTCCGTCAGCCCTACGAAATCCCCCTTCCTCCCCCGGACCACATCCCGGAACTTTCCTTTCATCTGAAGAAAAGGGAGGGGGAAAAGGAGGGAAGAAAATCAGAAAACTGAGAGAGCGTAGAGGTGAACCCCTCCCCTATCCTCCCTCCAAGCAGTTGTGGTAGGCCAGGAGCAGTGGCAGCAGCGGCAACAGCAGGACGCAGCACCTCTTCGGACGAAAAAGTCACTCACCTACCTACCTACCTACGCACCCACCCACCCTTTTTTCTGTTCGGAACCCTCGTGGTCGTCGCTTTGCAGCATTGCCGAACGGAGACGTTCCAGACCCTTTCGGGCGGCCGCCTTGCATGGGCCCCGGCGCGTCAGACCACTGGGGCGCCATCACGATGGTGCCCCGGGTCTAGACCGCCATCGACCGCATGTGTGTGCGGGGCAGAAGGAAAAAAGGGTCATCTAATTACTCTGCGAACCCGGACCTTCGTTTATCACCGCGTTTCCTGCAACCCGCCCATTCCCGGCACATGGATTAAGGGTCCTGTACCCTCTCGGCTGCAAGGAACCCTGGACCATTCCAACATGTCGGTTTTCGGACGTACAAAACAAACGCTTCAAGGGCTTACGGCAGGCAGTGTGCTGCTGTAGGTGGTAGGTACTGTGCTTATGCTCGCTGCAGGCTGGTCTGGGCGGTTCCGCGCTGACGGCGACGCGACCTTGGTCGCTGTCAAAAGCTTCGCTTCCCCACTGGCCAATGCCTGTCTTATCTTCTCTCGGATCTAGGTGCGCCCCGTGGTAATGTTTATTCATGACGAGCTCATGTCTCTTGTAGATGACAGCACTTCTCCTTATCAAATTCGCCTCATACCGTATACCTTCCTCCGTGGTTCATGGGTGCGAACCAAAAGACTCCATCAACTCCGATCACGAACTCCAAAAACGAGGCCGAGTAGCCATCTCGGTGGGCCCATGTTCTCCCGTCGTCATCCATGCCGGCACCGATGGGGGGGGGGCGACATGTCCTCCTGTCTTGGGACATCGTCAGTCGCTTCCCTTCGGCCAACCCATGTTGGCCATGCAAAAACCAAGAAAAGTCGAGAACAACCCTCCCTCTACTTCGATATATGGCGAAGTCGACCACTTGCCGTTTCGTACTTCGCTAGAAGACAATATTTTAAAAATGAAGTAAAAATCTCTCAGCAGGCCAATAATGCGTATATTCTACGCTGGCCTACCCAAGGCGCCGCCGATTTGGCGCACCTCACATCAACTTGTCTGCAGCCAGCAATGCTGCACCACAGAACCATCGTTCAAGGGGGCTTGTTTTAAGCGTATCCACTTTGGGGCCCGTACAGCCTCTGCCGCTTCTCTGGCCGGTCATCGCCGACGAGGTGGTCGGGCACACGCATCTGCTGCATCCCAGGCGGCATGTTCTGAAACGTTGGCCGTTGGGCTGACGTTGGCGTAATGACCATTTGGGCCGTGTTCGCCATGGGATATCCTGTCTCGATATTGGTAACATTGGGGGACGGCTGGTGTATTTGCCCGGGTGAGTGCCAGGAGGCCGTTGTCGCGGGGGACTGGCCTGGCGTCGAGTCAAACTTGACCTGGGGATTCATCGGGGGCACGCCCATTGTGTTGTTGGAATGAAGCTGCGCCGCTCCGTGGCCGACGGCGAGCTCATCCGGTGGTGCGTTCTTGAGGAGGTGAGGGACATGCTTTCGGAGAATACGCAGCATACCATCCTTGGTGAACGGCTTCGCCAACACATCGTTGAGGCCTGTCGAGTATTCTTCGTCAACGACTGTCGGGGGGAGGAAGGGGGGGAAACAACTCACTCCAGTTAAAGTAGTGGCTGATGTCTTCAGGTCGAATGTTTGAGGTCATGGCGACAACAGGAACATCGGGGTGGACCTCGCGGATCAACTGCGTTGCAGAAACACCGTCCATCTGCGGCATGACGATATCCATGAAAATCAGGTCAAAATGCCCGGACGGTACTTCTTTACACCTGTTGACGGCGTCGATGCCGTTTTCCTATGCGAGCTGATTAGCTGCCTGCTCCGATCGGATATTACCTCCTAGCACAATCTGCCGGTATCAGGACAAAAGTGACTTACAGCCAGTTCTACGATGCACTCCATTTGTGTCAGGAACTTGGAACCGATCCTAGAGCACGTCCTGTCGTCCTCAACCAGGTACACCCTCGGCTTCTTCGAACCCCAAAGACCCTTATCGTTCGAAGGCGGGCGTTGCGGCGCGGCCGCGGTAGCCACAGCCGCAGCCGCGGGGGCCGGCGTGGCAGGTCCGGGTTCCGGTTTGACGACGGGCTGGGCCTGGAAGTCGTTCATCGGCAAGGAGTTCAAGGTGTAAGGGATATTATTGAAGTGGTCCTGGGACAATGGGTCGATGCCTACATTTTCGCCCACGGGATAGACGAGGTGACGCATGTTCATGTGCTCAGCAAGCATGGGTGGGATCCCAGTGTTTCCGGGCTGGAACATGAGGGAAGAGGCGGAATCTGGCGGCGAGCTTTGCGCATACATGCCGTTCAGTCTCTCGAGCTCTCGGTCCACCATGCTGTTCGTCGTTACGCTGGAGAGGAGCTCCCTGGCCCGGCGCAGCTCGGGAGCTTGATCGTCGATAGCACCTCCGTTCATCTGTGGGTTCTGACCATGGTACCTGGGCCCTCTCATCCTGTCCTCGGCGTGCGACATGTAGTTGAGCAACTCGTGTTGTGACTGTCGCTGGGCGTCGATTATCTTGTGCATTGTGTGGACCTCATGGACAAGCGTCTTGTTTGTTCGCGACATCTCGGCTACTTGCTCTTGCAGCGCCTGCACCTGCTGCTGTTGCGCAAAGAGGGTCTCTTGCAGTAAATTGATTGACTGGTTAGTGGTGAACTGATCTTCTGTCTGTTGCGACTTCCTCTGTGCGGGAGCCTTTCGTCTGATGTTGTCCAAGTTGTCCTTTCTATCAGCACGGAAGGCCGAGTGCTTGAACTCCCAGGCCTGCATATCATTGTCAGCTCGCGGCGTTGACTAGCAGCATCCATTTTCCTACCTGCTTGCCGTACGGCGACTCGTTGTTCTCGTCATTACGACGCAGCTTGTGGAAATCGTATTTGTTCAGCTGTCGAACGAAACTTGAGAAATTGCTGTGCTTGAAGTGTTTCGGGAGAATATCGTTGGTGAATTTGTCCGTCTGCGGGCGGATTAGTCTCTGGTCACCATCGTTTGAGCGCAAAATTGTAGCTGCGACGCACCTCCAAAATGACGAAGGTGTCGCCCTCATTTCCCCATCTCACAATATTCGCATAGGCAGGGTCTTCCAGCATCCTGTCACAAAAACATTAGCCACAGGCCAACTCGGGAGTGCATCGAGAGGGTCTTCGAACTTGTATAGTTTGCGGACCTGCGCGCAGCCAGTTAGCAAAGACGACGTCACCAACGCCCAGCGTTCACGGAGCGAGCATGCGTTGGGCTTACAAAATCGCTGGAATTGCTGCCGCCGCCCTGGGCGGCGACGGTGTCGGGCTCAGGCATGATGAGCGCCGGGATTAAGAATCGGGCTCGGGAGAGGATTCGCGGGCCTCAAACCAGTCCAGCAGCGTAGGCGAAGCGAAGTCTTTAAAGGTATGCAGTTGTCAACACCACAGCTGGGCACCAGAAGTGTGCTCCAGAGTAAGTTGCACGACGGGTCAACGGTATCGCTCGGCAAGAGTACTTGTTGGTCGGCAGGTTGCTGCAGAATGATTTGTGGAAGTCCAAACGGGTCTAAGGATTCTAGATCGAAACAAGTAGGAGGCCACAAGGAGCCAATCTCCACCGAAGCTTTCGCAGCAATGTGGCCGTATCCGGTTGCGGTCGGCTGGGGGAGTGGAAGCTAAGATGGGCAGTGGCAGTGGTGAATCTAAGACAGCAGAGGCTGTGGAGGTTATCGAATCGTCAAATATGCCCGGATCGGTAGGTAAGATTCGATAGGATCGAGGGAGGGGGCTGTCGCGAAAAAAAGAGGTCGGCAAGTCAATTGAGCTGAGGAGCGAGGTTTGCAGAATCGGAGGTTGTTGAGAGGACGAGATCTGAGAAACCGAAAAGCGACGCAGGGCACCAGATGGATGGATGGATGGCAAGCCCGACGTGCGTGGAGCAACAAGGTCGATTTTCGGTCGCCGCTCACTGCTGACTGGATCGGATTGGTTCGAACTGCGTACGGACTGGACCCGGTCGACGAGGGGGTACGGAGACGCGGACGGACAGGGAGGGGTGGGGAGTGGGCAAGGATGAGGGGGGTGTGGTGACTTGGAGGGGAGGGACCCAACAGGGAACGGGGTTAATTGGATATGCCTGGTTGGTTGGTTGCCCTGCTTTGGTGGTGATGTGGGAGGAGGAGGGAGAGCATGAGGATGAGGTGCTGCCAGTCGCTGAGCGGTGATGGGATATGCAATGTACCTCTGCGGTGCAATAATTACTTGGAAGTTGACGTGCAAAGGTGGTGATGGTGGCAGCGCAGTGCTATTGCAAGTAGCTGCGAAAAGCGACGAACGGGCTACCTAGGTAGTGTATCCTATCCAGTACGGGTACAACGAAGAACGCTTCACTACGATTGGGGCGCCGCACGGTGGGTAAATTATTCCTAGGTATGTATATTGGTGCTGCCCGCCGTTCACGCCTGAGTTGTTGCCGCCGTCGCTGCCGCTGCCGCTGCCAGTACTGTCACTGTCGTTGATAGGGAGGTGAGGTGAGGCCCCCTGCTTACTTGTTCCCAAAAGAGTATGCACCTCAGATCATGACCTGAGATTTGGCCCCATGTAAGATGGGAGGGACGAAAGCGAGAAGGGGGAAATTGTAATTTTTTATTAAATGAATAAAAAGAAGAATAAGAGGTGACCTTGGATGCAGGCCACAAGACACAAATGACGGTCGCTGGGGGTCGGGGTCCAAGAGGAAGGCATGAGACAAAATGATGAGGGAAGTGTATTCGTACTTGCACGTAGCAATGTGCGAATGGCTCAGGGTTGATGTAATTGGAACCTTGTTTGAACCAAAGAGGGGGAAGGGGGGAAAAAAAAAAAAAAAAACCAGGAAAAAAACAAGGAGTCGATGAGAGAAAGCTGCATAGCAGGAGCTTCGCTCTGGCATGTGCACAGCATTGCCACTGCTCGAGCTTGTTGGGGTCCAATTCTGCAATTCTGCTCCTGCAAGATACGAAGGATGCTGATTATGTGCTAATCTTATTCTTCTTGGCCAGAGAGCTGTCTGCTTCCGGCCGTGTGGGGAGGCAGGACCGGGGTTGCTAAGTGTAATGTGCGTTCTGGATTTCTAGACAGGCAGACAACAGAATTTGATTGATTCATCTGGTTGCCTGGAGTCCCGCGTAGGCTTGCTTGCTTCGACCCTACTGCATCTGCGTCAGCTACACTCCTCTTATTTTTTAGTCTATATCCGGACTCCAAAATCGAAACCAGTCTTGCGCGCGGTACGGAAGGAAGGGAATAGGCGGGTGCGGCGACCGTGGGGCGGCGCGCGGGAAGCGACCGTGTGAGCCACAACGCGGGCGATTTGGGTCGTCGGGACGGAGAAGAATGCGAATGTGATTGCGACGGAGGGCAAGGTGGGACTCGCGACGGGCTGGATGCCTGCTACTTTGGATGGAGAAGGTCGCAATTCGAGAGACACATTGCCTTGGAGCCCCAGTCCCGGTCGGGCGCTAGCCGTCGTCAATAGTCGAGGTTACAGTTCTTGGCTCCACCGTCGCCCTGGGAAAAGAAAAGTAGTTTCCGCCTCGTGGATCAGGCCCTGTCCTTTACTCCCTCCTGTTCGGTCCTGCCATTCGTCGGTCCCTGGCGTGGCCAACCCCTCATCCTAGAGCAGACAGCTGGGCGCGGGCCCACATCAGATCCGTGTAGGAAACAATGACCTCATACTGTCTTTGTCAAGCGAACTATACGGTGTGGCGTACGAGGCGGCTACGGCAGGTACGTACCGCCCGCATCCTACTACCTACCTAGTACATACCGTCATCAGGTTAGCTGCGCTGCCGCCGTTGTGACTGCTCCTAGCTGAACAGCCTCTGTCCCGGAACTACCTCGGTACGCCAGCACAACGTGCACTCCCCTCTGATCTGGAGTGAAATTACGGTGTAAAACGTACTGGAAAGTACCTGCCTACCAAAGTATGTACGAAGGAGGGTGCTTGCCGGTACATGCCTCCAAACCTCTTCCCTTACCTACCATACCTTAGGTTACTAGTACATTTTGTATGTAAACGTCGAATCAGGTATCCACCGCTCTCTCACCCTCGACGTCTCGATCTTCCACCACAATGCGTACAACGGGCATTTTGCATCCGGCAGGTGACGAGACGCAAACTCTTCCGACACTCACGACCGAAAGTCCCCTTCTGAGGACTGAAAAAGAAGCGAGCTTCGACACTTCCATAACACACTACGCCTAGCGTACAGGTATCTCCGCAGCACTGCTACCTACCCCATCCCCCTCTCGTCTCGTCTCGTCTCGTCTGCAGGGTACAGAATACTACGTGGACGGACACATACCTTAGGTCGACGACATGCGCTCCCAGAGCTTCCATGCTGCCCATGTTAAAACCATGGCCCCAACCATTGGCCCAACTCTCTACACCACCATCTTTAATTCCAAACTGCCCATTTTTCCGGGGTAGGGAAGGGACGGAATGGAATGCTCTTTGCCCTGGACCCTGGACTTTTCCGTTGCCGCGACCCGAACACATTTCGACTCCTATGACGAACCCGCAAGACGAACCAGACGAGCAGGTATCCATATACCACAAATCAACTAGTACTACACTAACACGCGAGACGAGCAGGGAGCCAGAGACACGCCAGACCCTCGGGGTGGGCACCACGCCCCAGAAGAAAATTCCAGCGAATAAACTAACTGAATGCCACACCGCACATGAAGTAGCTATTCTCTGCCTCTGTCTAGCATATCACGCGTTGCACAAATGCCTAATCAATACCCTCCACAGATACATAACACAATATGCTATGTAGGCAGCCAAAACACGCATACACACACACACACACGCACTACCTGGCATGGTCATCATCTGTCCCGTCGAATCACCGCACATATAGACCGAGGCTATCCAACACCCTCCGATTTCCATGCCGACAAAGGACCCTGTGGTGCGGGGGGCGCGATGGTTCAGAGGAACCCTCAGACAATCCACCAATCCACCGAGGCCCCTTGGTGACCTTAGTACAGTGTACTGTGTAATAGCCTGCCTTCCAACATTCTTCGGTTGCCATTCGAGTGGATGACGGTGTGAAGCAATGAGGGCTTGACACCCCTGACTGTCAGTGTCACGGCGTAATGGTGGCCTGTCGATGGCCTGCCGTCTTGCCGTCCTAACCGCAGTAACCATGATGCGCTGGAGACCTAGATAGCAAAGATCCGCGATGGCCGCCACCGACCTACGGTTCGGCCGTTCGGCCTCCCTCGGCCATCCTCCCACCTGGAGACGGCGCGTGCTCACCGGCCCCCGACGATGAGACAGGGGTGGCTGATCGGCGCCGACCAACCACACTCACCAGGCAGTGGACACCACAGAACATCACAACGACGTGATATTAAAGTTACGGTGCAACGACGCAAGAGGAGCACGCGGCTGACAAGTGGCATGCGAAACCAATCGACTTGAGCTTTTTGACCCCGATCCTCAAGTCTGTTGAGAATGCAACGCAACTCGGCTCATGTTAGACCGAGAGGGCTCAATGACCGGGCACCGTATTTTCGGTTCGAACCGATTTCCAAGGGAAGCTTCTATGTTTCCGATAGTTCAGACGGACACACAGCAGCGTGTTGCCCTAGTTGTTTGCGGAGAATAGCGCTGTGTTCCCCCTTATCCAGCCAATGCAAGGGACTCTCGAGAAGCAATGTGTTGGCCGGAGCGAGCAAATCTCTCCAGGGTTGCATATGGATACAGCTGCCATCACTAAAGAACGCCTTTTGCAGTCCCAAGTCGAATCCGAAACGGACAGGATTCCATCCGGCGCCAAGATCGACAAGACGAGCCAAGAAAGTTGGACGGAACTACAGCGGTGCCAAGGACTCAGCATTTTTCATCCCAAGGTACGTATCCAGGGCGGTCAAGAGGGTAGGTATGCATGTCCCCTACTTCGCACCTACGTAATACAGCCCATACCGAATTTATGCCCTCCTAGGGGTCTGGGACCGATACGCCTGAGATTAAAGCAAAGAAGCTTTGTCGAGACCCTGAATTTGTCGTCATCATTCAACGTCTGAGCGGGAGGCTACACCAAGATGGCACGCTTTTCTGATGGAGGAGGCTGAAGTACCCAGGTTCTGCAAAAAGGAACTCTCCCTCCCCCAAACCGGCCTGTCCCATCGGCACAGTGATGCTGGCCCCAGTATGACGCAACTGAGGGGACGCTGCCAGTGCTTCACGGGTCACGCATACACACCAAAGCCCACACGGCAATCTTGGCGCCAAGGACCAGGGTCCGTGAGATCTCCCGACCGATGAGGGGGCAGATTGGGATTTTGGGCAAGAGGAAAAAATGACGAGGGCGGGACGGTAAGATTTTTCGGGCGTCAGGTGAGTGAGAGGCTAACCCCGGTTCACTCCGTCGCAGCTGCTGGGGGATGATCCCAATGGGCGAAACCGAAGCACAGACGTGCGATCAGGGGGAGGCGACTTCCTGAGCAGAGGTCCGTTTTGATCGAGGTCTGCCCCTAGCTAACAGCAAAGTCGGATATTTCCCTGTCTGGCTGCCTCCTAATAATACCTGGTAGAGAAGGCCTGCTCTCCCGAGCCTTTTTTTTTTTTTTTTTTAAAAAAAAAAACATCCAGTTTCAGCTTTGCTCTGCTTCGCTTATACGAAAACGGTCCTTTCACTTGCACCGGCTCCATTCAAATGGGGAATGGAGGGAGAGGGTTCCGAGCATAAGCAGAAGATCTGCACTGGGCGTTTCCAAACCCAATCCGAGGCCACCGGATCCGAAGTGAAAAAAAGGCCTGGCGCTTTTGTATTTCATTTCTCTCTTTCGCTTCCGATATTGTGCCCGGTCAGCCACCCGCATCCCAGGGCTCGCGCAGCCAGACGCGCGCAGCGTAGGAACCACTGACGCGCGGAGACGACCCCTTTTGAAATGGGTACAGCATTCCCACGTTTTTCTAATGTGATGCAACGGCCCCTGACTCTGTACTGTTCTTCTGCCTTGGTACTCGCTAGCTCAGTCCCACCCCGAGGGAACGCCATGATTTGGGGGTGATACTACCTCAGCGCGCTCACGCAGACATTACGACCGCGTGGGCCCCCCCGCCATGAGAATCTCCCGACGTTCAACTGTAGGACTAGGAATCTAGGACCTAAGTGTTCCAGGGAACCGGTATTCAGGGAACATGGGAGAGGGTTCGTGAGACAAATGATGACAGCACATACCGAGTCTATCTCCTCCTCTCTAGGTAGTCTCCAATCCGACTCGGCTTCCTCCGGCGCGGTAACTACCCTGCCGTTCAGCTGCGGTGACCCTGAGTTGGAATGAAGAAAAAAGAAACAATAAAAAGAAAACAGAGTGAGCTTCTCATGCCAAGCAGACCCCGAGCGTCCGGGCCTTGATCGGATCAGGCCACATCACCGAGCCCTCCCTATCTCCCTCTCCCGCTCCTTTTCTCTGAACAAGGAGATTGGGAGTCTGGTTGACACATCGTGGTCCAACATTCTGTGCATAGGAGGCGCGTCCGCCGAGACATCGTATCTTGTCTCGACTGCGAGCACCCATCCCAACCCCCTTCTGGTTCAGCGCCGTCCATGTGTCTGGGAGGTCAGCCCTTCCGCCCAGCTATTACGCTGTGACCTTTCAGCATGCCTGCCCGGCCATGGAACCTTCCTTCTCCGTACTTTTGACGTGGCATGCGACGACTCTGGGGTTCCGGGTTGAGGTGATCTAGGCCTGCTCGAGGCGCAAACGGGACTAGCTTAGTTATCATTACGTGACATGGGGGTTACAGTATCACTTATGTATTAGTCAACTATTTATACCTATCGCGCTCAGTATTTAGGCGTGATACCTATCCCTTTAGTTGCGAGCGGACCTCATTATCCCCTTGGTGGACCCACTCCCACTTTTACCCCTCACTTTCGGACATACATGACAGTACAATGTTATTTTATCAGCAACTACCACTAATTTCAACATTATCACCAACATCCTTATTAAAATCTATAATATCTAACTCTAATACCTCTATTTACATAGAGGTGCTACTAAAGGACCTTGCTGTTGCCTACCCAGATAACTGCTGCCTAGATCAGTGTAATAACGCAACAGTCTGGCCTAACAAGGCTCTAGTAGAGCTGCTTAGACTGTAAAGTACTGTTATGTAAAGGTGGAGATTGTTGGTACCTCCGGCATAGGCAAAACGCCATATAGATAGAAGTACTCTAAAACTATTGGCTTTCGGACTTAAATGCCGTGGTCTAATTCGCCCTACCCCGCACGGGAGGTTAATGAGGTCCGCTCGCAATTAAAGGGATACTGTGTTTTTCTAACTGCGCTACTATCATTGTGTACCTGTGGGACCTTGAGGAAGGATCGCCTTGACAACAGTACCTTAGTCTATTATTCTATTCAACTGCTAGGCTGGCAGCTTGTTTGACACGCGAATGCTTCTCACAAGGCATGTGAGCGAGCAGATTGTGGGCATCCCTTGCTGGCGAAGTTCGTTGTGTGCGTAGCAGACCAAGAACATTGAATAGTCAACTCATTTATTTTTATACGGAGGACGAGAAGAACTTTGTCCAACGGAACCAAGAACAGACTTCCCAGCCCGAACATGAGAAAGCCTTAGAATTAAAGATCGTGTCCATTCAACCCCGCTTCTTCTCCAAACGAGGGCTTCCTAAATCAGTGCTTGATATTGGGAGGGAGCGGGAGAGAGTTATGCCACAACAGTACCTATGAGAAGAACCCATTCCCGGGCCCGCCCTAGAATCCTCTGCGATTTCACCCGGATCTCGTGTACCGCTGGAGGCCGTTCGCGCCCATCAGCTGGCAACACATTCAGGCGTAGTCCGTTGTGGGGATTCACGAACGGGGACCCGGCGACGCCGCCCCGACGTCGGCTTTACCAGCCGGAGGTGCGCGCCGGCCGCCGAGGCACAGCTTCCTGCCCGTGTAGTCCATCGTCGCTGCTTCCCAAAGACACCCTCTCCAACGCACTTGCTAGCCACGACGACCAGCTCGGCGACTGTGAGCCAGAGGTACTCCGTCAGGATGCGGGTGTCGTCGGCGTCGCCGAGCGGAACCTCTTCAGCTCGAGCTTCGCTTCTCAAGCTCCCTTGTCCCGAGTGCGCCCAGGTCTCGTATGATACCGTCCCCGAGGGAGAGGGTTTCAGGGCAGGTAATGCCGTGATTGGTCCAGCATATTTCGCGAGCCGACTCCCCTCGAATGAGAATTTGCCATCCTGCTCAAGCATGATGTGACACTGCCGCTGCTTCAGCACGAGTTACCCGACCCCAGGTAATGTTGTCCCCCAACACGGACACGAGAGCTGTAGCGTTCGTTCAGCGAGAAAACTTGGCGCCCAGGCTTTTGGTTAGCCTCTTACCGTGGGCAAAAGCTTAGGGCGTGGGGAGGGTGCGAGAGAAGGGTGTGATGGAGCCAAAAGACTACGAGCCACACGGCGTCCGGGCCGTCTCCGTGGAGGTTGGTCTCGCCGGAGAGGCCTTCGCAGGAGGGGACCTAGAGGGCTACGGAGGAGTAGAGCAGAGAATCGAGGTTTACCGCGACGGTGGTTGGGTGCGGTGGCCCCATCTCGGGTGCATCTGGTGATGGGGGAAGAGGCGGAGGGGATGTGTTTTCCGGCTGACCCGAGAGTGAGGCTTCCGCTGTGGTTTTGTTGGAGACAGGGCTGTAGTACGTATAACTCGTTGCCGCTGACAGTGTCTTTGTGTCCTGGCGACTTGCATGCCATCCGGGCACGTCTTTCTACGAGAGAACCTTGACCTAGGATGGATTGCAACGTCGGGTATAGGAGAGAGAGGCTTTGGAACAGTCGGGAAGGGGAACAGCGAGATTGACGTTGCATAATGGGTGGAAAAACTCAGCTGGATTGTTGAAGAAGGAACAGGGTATTAGAGAGCTCAACGTCCTTCGTACCGTGAATTTCGCAAAGGGCACGATATGACGAGAAAGTAATGGGAGACAGCTTGCTTCTTGTGTAACAGGAAACAGCTTCCACCACGATGGTAGACGAGAGCCCTGTCTTCCTACCGGTTGTACATCTTGATATAAACTTTGATATAAACCAGTCGATAAGAATGCGGTATAAATAGGACAAGCAGCCGGGCTGAATCACGATCAGCGTCTTCGTCACTGGGACAACACATCGGAAAGAAAGCCCGGCAACAGGGGCAGTGGGAGGTGTTAAACAGACACTTGACACTCCCGGAGTCGTCCACCATCGGCGTAAGCTCCCGTTTGGAAAGGACATGCTCGGTATTTCCAACGGTATTTCCAAGAAACTACCTTGGGTAAACCGAAATAGGAGAATTCTTTCTTTTTCTACTCCGTAACTAGGCATTCGATGACAAGATAGCACATCAAACTTACGAAAAGAGCGACAACGGCCCTACCTATCTGCACCTTCCCTCCCAGTCACTGACCACCTTCCTGCCTCCTCCGACTTATGCAAGTCTCCTATTGACCACCACCCCATCTTCTTCTTTTCACTTCTTTTTCTTACCACTACCCGCTTCTTCTTTTTCATTCCCTCCCAAATCTCTCCTCACCACGTTCGATCTTCCCCTGTTAAAGCAACCGTCGATCATACAAGGCTACATTGCTGGTTGATATGATGTCTTCTATACTGGGTAAGCACATGCGAACAGCTTCAGATCCAACAGAATTGACGCGGGCCAAACGACCCAAGCCTGCTCCTTTGCAGTCTCATTCCGCAACTGAAGCCTGTGTTCCTTCTAAGGCTGAGGCTGCCGATGATGCGCGGCCCCAGGTTGGTTCCATGGGACACTTTTTGACTGCCAATCAGTGGGTATACTTCAGCTCCGAATATGTTATATTAATACTGATGTAAAGTGCAGATGGTTCGCTCAACGGACAGTTGTTTTCTACGTTGGCGAAGAAGGCAGGGCAGCGTTCTTTGTCCACAAGCATTTGATCCCATCCGCCATAGTACGGTCTATGAGCTCCTCTGAGGGTGTTTCCGAAATTCAATTTCAAGACGAAGAGCCTGATGTTGTAGGCCTGATGATACGCTAGTGTTATAGAGGCCAGTTACCGACCATCACATCTCTGCCTGGACCAGCGGCCCAGGGGCTTAGAGGCAATTTTCCAAACACTCCTGAGCCTTCAACTGCCGACAGAGACTCAAAGGGAACATTGACCAGTCTGTACCAGACGCTGAGAATGTACTTTGACGCGTGCAATTCCGACAGAGTCCAGGAAATGATCTCTTTCGAGGAGATGAGATATGAGAACTACAAGACGAATGCGAACATCAGTACCGCCAGAACTTATCTCCAAGATGTCGGAGGAATACCGATGCTAAGAAGGGGCGACGCACGAGTGAAAGCAGAACTCCTACAGGTGAAGCTTGTCAGACTTTCTAAGATGGCCGCAAAATACGGCTGGCTGCGACTACTTCATGCCACGCTGTTCGCATATGCAAAGGGCGAGATCAAACCCAGTCGGACTTGTCCCATTATGCGCCGTATTGAGCTGGCTTACTTGGCCTCCAGTGGTCTGCGGCATCTCCGCAGATTTATGGCAGCATATGCTTCAAGCACGACACAAGCCCACAACGCCCGCGCTGAGTTGGTTCCGCTATTCACAAAGTATCTTGGCTTTCTTCGCGACGTCATGGCACACCAGGATAATTGCATCGGCGTTCCTGACCCGCTGCTGGAGCACACTATACGCTGTACGCTACTGCTCCGACGGAACGGAAAGGCTGCTGATTGCCTGAATGAGGGACTGTTGTCATTTTGGTATGAGGGGATGTTGTGATTGCTGTTGTAGCCGGGCGAAGGACAAGAGACAAACAAAGTGCGATGCCGGGAATCTTTCTCAATGTGTAGCCTATCCTGTTAGCTTAGAAAAAACTTGCCGAGGACAGTAGCATACATGATACTACAAGAAGTCTTGAAGATAGCAATGGTGGTGGCAGAAAGCGAGCAGATCGTGAATTGTAAAAACAATATTGCGTTTTGCCAGCCTTTATTTCCTGCTCTCCGTCTTGTTTCTTAATATGGTACCTGTTTTTGTGGCTGGTTCACCGGCGACCTACCTCGTTCTCCGCCTCGAACTGAGGATTTGCTTTCTCGGACCATCGCCGTTCTATTTCCCAGAGCTTGGCTCTCACCGCATGTGATAAAGGGGGATGCAAGTAAAGTGGCTTCTACAAACTATTTGGGAAATGTTAAGTTAAATCATTGAATAGTACAAACATCTCTCAGAGATTCATACTTTCGTCTGTCTCCCCCTTTCGCTTCTTTCTCCATTTGAGCTGTTAATCGTTCCACAAAGTGGACTTATATCACACTTTATCTGCCATCTGCACTATGTGCATATACGCAAAAAAACACCGTGGCTTCAGATCAAGACATGTTCCTATGAGATCAGTTCGAATTTGTCATAAAATTGCTAGATTGGCATGGCGAGTTTCCCGCCAATCTGCCCTCTCTCACATGGGTCCGAGTCTCGGTGTATAGTCCACACACCGAGGTACACCGAGAGAGGGTTAGCGCACGACCCACCCCGCATCGGAACGGTTGAGTCACTCACCTTAAATTTCCAAATCCCAAGCTGGCGACTGTTTGCTTTGACTCACGACCCCGCGACCACCATACTTCATAACCCCCGAACACCGCCGCCCAACCCTCCGTCGCGATCCACCTCATCCAGACGATGTCGCAGCAAAAGGGAAAGGCCTCTGGTGCCAGCAAGGGCAAGAAGTCCGGCAAGGCTGGCGCCGATGGCAAGCGCGAGGATGTCTTGCAGGCTGTGGTGAGTTTCTAAGCGTCATGGTGGGGCACCCGAGGTGATGGTTCGCGAGATGGCTGACCAGGCTGTTTGTCTTCGCTCAATTGCAGATCATCGCCGACTCCTTCCAAGACAGATTCGCTCCGTTCTCGGTAGAGAAGCCAAGAGTAGGTCCTTGGGAACAATTTCCGTCGTCGTGCGACGCCGACTAACCGCCCGCCCGCAGTGTCTTCTACCGCTTGCAAACACGCCCCTCATCGAATACACCCTCGAATTCCTCGCTATGAACGGCGTCCAGGAGGTCTACATCTACTGCAGCTCCCACTCCGAACAGATCGAGAACTACATCAACACATCGCGATGGTCGCCCATGTCCATCCGGACCCCCTTTACGAGCCTGCAGTTCATCCGCGTTTCCGACGCCCGCTCCATCGGCGACTTCCTCCGTGACCTTGACGGACGCGGCATCATGGACGGCGACTTCATCGTCGTCCATGGCGACGTGGTCTCCAACATTTCCCTGGACGGCGCGCTGGCGGCGCACAAGGCGCGCAAGGAGGCCGCTGCGACCAACATCATGACTGTTGTCCTGCGATCAGGCGGCGCCGACGAGCACAGAACGAAGCCGAACGCCATCAACCCGGTGTTTGTGATCGACTCCAAGACGAAGCGCTGTCTACACTACGACGAGACACATCCCATGCAGAGCGACCACTACATGACGCTCGACCCGACCGTGATCGACGAGCTGTCGACCGACTTCGAGATCCGCGGCGACCTCATCGACGCGGGCATCGACATCTGCACACCCGAGGTGCTGGCTCTGTGGTCCGAGAGTTTCGACTACGAGCTACCCAGGAGAAACTTCCTACACGGTGTACTGAAGGATTGGGAACTCAACGGCAAGGCAATCTACGCCGAGGTCCTCGAGGACGGTTACGCTGCGCGCGCAAGCAACCTCCAAATGTACGAGTCAATTAGCAAAGACGTTCTCGGCCGCTGGACGTTCCCCTTCGTCCCAGACTGCAACATCATTCCGGGCCAGACCTACAAGATGACCAGCGGCGCGGTCTGTATAGAGGACGGGACGGTCATGGCGCCCGACAGCAAGATTTCGAAATCAATCCTGGGCCAGGGAGCCACCGTCGGTGCCGGCAGCAGAGTATCCAACAGCATCATCGGCAGGAGATGTAAGATTGGCAACAACGTTCGCATCGAGAACAGCTTCATCTGGGACGACGCAATCATTGAGGACGAAGCCGTTGTGACACGCTCCATCCTCGCCGACTCTAGCGTCGTCGGCAAGGGCTCCACTGTCGACGCCGGCTCGCTCCTCTCGTATGGCGTCGTCCTGGACGAAAAGACCAAGGTGCCCGAAGCCACTGTACTCGCAGTCACCGCACATGACGGCAATCCCGTCACACCAGACACCACCCTCGTGGGGCCCAAAGGCAAGGGCGCGCGCTACGTCGACCCCGAGGCCGAGGACATGGACGACGAGGACCCCTCAACCCTCCAGCGCTCCCTCATCTACAACCTCGCCAACCTCTCCCTCTCGACCTCCACCATCTCGACCCTCTCCTCCGAAATGGACGACGACGACTCGGATGCCGGCTCGGCCACCACCCCCTTTTCCGCCGACTCTCGCAACCGCGCCGACTCGTTCGTCTCGGACGACTCCCAGGGCAAGTCGGGCTTCCACTACGACGCGGTGCACGGCCTCCTCGATGCTCTTCGCGCCGACTCGACCGACTTCGACGCGGCCAAGCTCGAATTCATGGGCCTCCGCCTCGCCAACGACGCCTCGGACGTGTCCATGCGCAAGGCCATCGCCATCGCCTTCGCCCGCCGCGCCGCGGAGCTCCTCGAGCCCGAGCACGGCGGCCTCGAGGCCCCCAAGGCCGCCGACGTGACCTTCAACTCGAAAAAGGGCGCGTCCAAGTTCGTCTCCGAGGTCGGCGTCGGCGGCGGCGAGGCGGAGCAGGTTGAGTTCGTGCTCGCGCTCCAGCGCGCCCTGCTCGGCTGCCGGAACCTCGAGCACCACCGCGCCGGCGTCCTGCTGGCCGCCATGCTGCAGCAGCTGTACGGCCTGGACGTCCTCGAGGAGGAGGGCATCCTGGCCTGGTGGGAGGACGCGCGCGCCGAGGACAGCGAGGGCATGGCGGCGCTCAAGGACAAGTGCAGGGTCCTGGTCGAGTGGCTGGAGAACGCCGAGGAGGACGACTCAGACGAGGAGGAGTCGGACGACGAGTAGGTCTTTGCGTCGCGGTCCGCGTCTGGGGAGTTCTAGAGGAGGAAGGAGCAAGGTTCTTCTTGTCTCGTGTAAGGGTAAGATGGATCTGCGGTCCGTCGCCTCAAGCCTCACGCTCTGTAGAGCGAGGAGATACTTTTTTTTGTGAGCAAAGAAGAAGAAAAGAAATAACAGGGTAGAGAAAGTCAAAAAGAAGAAAAAAACAACAACACGTTAAATGGTACCACGATGATGACGGGCCGTCGTCTCCGGCACGGCCAAAGACCTTCTCTCTCTTTCTTCAGCTGAAATGAGCTTTGCATGCAAATTGCAAGGTACTTAAAACTAAGGTATCATGATGAAAGCATAGCCTCGGGACGCCGACCTCGCCTGCCAGTTAAGACGAAAAAGTGTGACCCCTCCCTCTCCCTCACCAGCATTCTGTGTCCCTGTTTTCTTTTGATCGACCGCCGCGCTTTTGTTTCTCTCGAGTGGAATGCATGAAACCCCCCCTCCACTCTGGTGTATTTATACACGGTCCCATACATGGTTGAGCCCTGGGATCCCAACGTGAAGCTCTACCTGCTTCCAAAAAATATATCAGTCCCACCCCCCCAGACATGACGTAGCGTAGGTGATTTCTGATACACACCCTAAGCCATTGCTCTCAATAATAGTTCTGCAGGTCACTTCCGCCGCCGCCTCCCCCGTAATTGCCGCCTCCTCCCATAGGACGTCCAGACGGGCCCGTAGGGGCGTTCGGCGGAGGGCCCTGTTGCTGCCATGCGTTGTTGGGCGGTTGGTACTGCTGTTGTTGACCATAGAAGCCGCCGTGTTGCTGCTGCTGCTGCTGCTGCTGCTGCTGTTGTGGCTGGGTCGGGAGGGACGGGTAACTGATGTCATCATACTCAACAGGCTGGCCGTAGCCTCCTTGCTGGTTCCGCGGCTCGACATCGTCGAGAGAGCGATAGCCGTGCATGCCCCGACCGCTGCGGCCGCCCTTGCCGTTGTTGCGGTGGCCTCTGCCGCCCCTACCGCCGCCTCCGCGGTGACCGCCGCGACCTTGTCCACGGCCGCCGCCGCCGCCGCCGCCGCCTCCTCCACCTCCACCCCCTCCCGAGTGGAAGTCGCGGCGCTCATTGCGGCCGTTGTAAGGGTTGTTGCCGTGGCGGTGGTGGTCGCGGGAGTAATCGCCGCCGTCATGTTTTCGCTTAGAGGACTTGTTGGCGAAGAGCGATTCGTACTCGTCTTCGCGTGGGTCCTCGGGCTCGATGCGGAGGATCATCTTCTCGCCGACCGTCGTCTCAAAGGTCATGGCCTTGTCCGCGGGTACGGGCTGCCAGTTCTGGATCTTGCCGGCGTCGACGGGGCGCGCGCCCTTGCGCAGGGCGAGGACGACGAGCGGGGCGGGGTTGTCCGTGTGGAACTTTGCTGTGGCAGGGACCGGCCGCAGGCTGGCGGCCCAGATGCTGTTCTCGAAGCAGGCTGTGCCCGTGACCTCCCACCTCATCTTGCTGCCCATGCCGCCGACCTTTTCGAGAATGCTGGCGGGGCAGGGGCGCGGGCAGATGAGGATGTTGTTGGCGTGGAACTTGAGCTCCTGCTCGGGCATGCCGGGCGGGATCTGCGCCAGCTTCATCAGGCGCGCCGTATCTTCCTTGCTGATCATGTAGCCCGTGAAGTAGACGGTCTTCTTCACCATCAGCCGGTTCGGGCGGACGTCGGTGGGTTGCTTCGCGATCTCCTCGTTGTGGAGGTTGATCATGTGCTGCACCTCGGCAACTTCGACGACGGGATCCAATGTCGTTGACAGGTCCGCCACCTGAACGACCTCTGCCGTGATCGGACCGCGCGTACGCGTCGCGTTCATGTTCTGCTTCCGGTTGTACTCGGTCATGAAATCTCTGAACCCCTTGACGTGCTTCGGGCGGTCCTCGTAGATGCGAATCTCGTCGGCGTTCTTGTACGTCTCCATGACGGCCGTCAGGAAGAGCTGCTTGAAGTGCATGGTGCTCGAAAAGTGCTGGTTCGTCGGGCTGACGGCAGGCTTGAGGCCAATCATGTCGAAATCGAGGCCTTTGCTCTGGACCATCCTCTTGATGAGCTCCCCAAAACCCCGCTCGGAACGGCCCGTCAACAGCACGCACAGGGCGTCCTTC